TGTGTGTGTGTGTGTGTGTGTGTGTGTGTGTGTGTGTGTGTGTGTGTTGGGGGATGTGTGTGTCTGTCTCTCTGTCGGAAAGTCTCCCCATGGCTTCAGTTTCTCAGAACAGGTAGCAAACCCATCATCAGGGAGTGGGGATGAGAGAAAGAGATTGGTGTTTGAGGATGGAATACTCTGAGGAAAAAGCCATGAAATGGGAAGGGAACTGACCAGAATGGGGTTCAATGGCTAGATAACTCAGAGAACACAGAGGGTTAGCAATTTTGTAACGAATAATTAAAAGCATAGAAATTTTTGTTTTCAAAGTTGGAAGTAGTGATGAAAGACCTTTCACGAAGAATAACTTGTTAAACCTAACAGCACACAAAAATCTTGTGCATTAAATAAGCATTGGTTCTTCCGCTGGCTTCACCAACCTCTGCTTTCCAACCGTTGGCGGGTATTTTATTTCTGCTCCTGTGGTCAGAGAGAAAAAGAGGAAGATCCGGCACTTACCAGCATTCTTGTGGGTTTTCTTCCTGCTGCCACAGTCAAAGAGCCTGAGCCGATAAACTGTTTAAAATAGGAAGTAGGACAGATAAAGGGACATTTTTTCTTGACCACTTTCTCCTCAGCATTCCCCTGAAGTTACACACGTTGCTTTGTTCGATTCACACTAAAGTATACTTTGCACTATGCATTACTTTACATGACTAAAATGTTTAAATTGTTCACATTCTAAGTCATTCATTATAATTTCATTTTGTTTATGTCTAGTTTGAATGGGTTTATGTATGGCTAATAAATAATGAAATACTATAGTTATACTCATATTTATGTTAATATAAATGATAAATATTTTAAATTGCTTATATCACTGCCCATGCTTCAATTATATCTGATTTATTGGTCTAGATGCTTCAAAAAAGCATTTGAAAATCTAAATGCCTTCCTCTGTATTCTCTAGCTTTTAAATCACCATTTTAATGTACTATTATCTTTAGGACTATAGATTTTAGTGTTTATCCTATATTATATGACTACTATCCACTTATGAGTGAGTATATACCATGTATGTCTTTCTGCTTGCGTAAATGTACCACAATTTCTGTATCCATTCCTCCACTGAGGAGCATGTAGGTTGATTCCAGATCCTGGCTATTACGAATAGAGCTGCTACAAACATGGTTGAGCAAATGTCCTAGATGAATACTTGAGCATATTTTGGATATATGCCTAGGAGTGCTATAGCTATCTTAAGGAAGCACTATTCCTAATTTTCTAAGAAAGGTCCAGACTGATTAATGTGCTATTATTTCTATGACTCTAATTTTGATAATTTAGATTTTCTATGTATTTATGATTTTCCAGTTTTTTTTCATATTTTAAGTTGGTAAGATTTTACAGCCCTTTTCCGAGTTATCAAATTTTGGAGAACAAAGGCTTGCTAAGTAAAATTCAGCCACTGAAATCTGCATGAAAATTCAGGACCAGGCTTCAAGTTCTGTCTCAGATAACAGAGATCATCATAGGGCTTCTCATCACTGTACTCTGTGAATGAGCACCTTTGTTTTCAATACCAGCTCCACCTCAGCTGGAATTCTGGGTAGATCATTGAGGCCTTTTCAACTCAGCTTCTTCTCCCATCTAACATAGTATCTCCGTGTTACTATCACCTACTAAGAGCTGTGTGGTACTAAAATGAACGATACATAAGGGAGGCGCATGCTTGTCCGAGTTACAGAAAGCATCCAAATTAATGATAACATACATTGCTCATTTAATTTCAGAGATCCCAAAATAAGATCCTTTTGCTATTTCTGACTTCCTAGTAAGGACACTGGGGGAAAATGTTCACGTCTAATCTTTAAACCACATCCTTGATAGGATTATAAAAGATGAAGCAATAGAAAGGACTGTATAGTGGGTACACAGCAGAAATGTTCGTGTTTCCAGGAGTTGATGGCTGCAGGCAAAGACAGACATGGAGAACAGGTCATATACCTTGGACTTGCCCTGAAAGTATACTGGAGCCAGAGAGAAGCTTCTAGAATTGGAATAGGTGATCAAACATTTTGGCAATGCTAAAGCAAATAAGATGGCAGCTCTCTGTTTCCTCCCACTTTAAAATTTTATTTCATGTATGTGGCCTGCATGTGTGCCCCCATACATATGTGTAGTGCCCATAGAGGTCAGAAGAGGGTGTCAGAACTAGAACTGGAGGTACAAACAATTGTAAGCCTCCATGTGGATGCTGGGATGGAAGCTGAGTCCTCTGGGAGACGGGCCACAGCTCTTAACTGCTCAAACCAACCAACCAACCAACAAAACCAAAAACCTCAACGCTTCTGGGAGACCTGAAATTCCTCATTTCTGTCTCTTTCTAGAATGAAGAGAGTGAAATTCTTCATTTGGGTTGTCAAGATTTATTACGCAGAACAACTTAGGAATACTTCAGAGTTTAACTCTTCCATCAAAATTTTATCTGAACTCCCCCAGAATTTCAGGAATGTCAGCTTCAAAGTTCATGCTTTACACAGTGAGCGGAAACTGCACACAGCCTCTTTCCAGCCTGAGAACTAATGCTGACCCTCAATCTACTTTCACATCGCATGCCACTGCCTTTTGCCCCTCCTCACTCCCTTGAGACCTCTTGCCTCCTCTCCTGGTCTCTATTCTAGTTTCACAACTTCTGCCCACACCTACACATACATATGGGCACATATATAAAAATTAAAATCTAGGAGCTACGAAGGAGAGAAACAAATACTTTTTGCCTTTCTGAGTCTAGAAAGCTTTGACGCTATAGGGGTGGGTGTGTGTGTGTGTGTGTAAATGTAGGACATCTATACTTTTATTCAACCATAAAGAGAAGTGAAATCATAATTTGTTTAGGAAAATGGATGGAACTGGAAATCATTATAGGAAGTGAAGTGGTTCCTGTAATTAGAAAGAGAGGGGCTTTTGCCCACTTTCGTCAGAAATTATAAATCAAAACCGCAGCTGGTAATCTTCAAAGAACATACAAAGAGAGCTTTCATACTGTAGCACACTGACCATGCCGGGTAAGGGATGGCCTGCAGCTGAGGGAATGAATACTCACAAACAAGCCGCCCCACAGCGGGTAGCCTGTGTAGAAGGTGAAGAAGAAAAAATGCCTGAAGTGGTGAGACAAGTATTGCAAACAACCCAAAAACACACCCAGAGCCAGAATCAGTATTCCATCCAGGATCTGGATGCCCTGTAAGAAAAATAATAATAATGAAAGATAAAGGCACAATGCTATTTTTATTTTCCTTAGAAAGGAGATGTCATGGCTTTAAATGGTTGAAATGCTAGGCCTAAATTAACTGAACAAGATCTTGTTTTAAGAAGGTTTTGTTTAAGACCATAGTATGACAAAGGTAAGCAGCTGTTAAATTTTCATTTTAAAATATTTTTATTTAAAATATAGAATATGGTTATCACTGGTGACCCAGGCCTGTGATCCCAGCTACTTGGAAGAATGAGGCAGAAACATCTATCTGGACTACAGAATGAGTTCAAGGCCAACCTATGTGATTTAGCAAGACTCAGTGTAAAGAATGTACAAAGGAGTGGAGCTGTAGCTCAGTAATAGTGTGTTTTCCTGGTATGCCTGAGGACCTGTTCTTATTCCCAGCACCACAGGAAAGGGAAAAGAAAGGAGAATGGAAGGGGATGGAGAGAGAGAGAGGGGAGGGGAAGGAAAATTGAAAGGGAAAGGGAAGGAAGGAAAGGGGAAGGAAAAATGGAAACAGAAGAAAGGAGGGGAGGGGAGGGAAATGAAGGGGTAAGAAAGGGCAGGAAGGAAAGGAAGGGGAGGGGAGAGAAAAGGGGGAGGGAACATCATAGAACTCAACCTCTTGATATAAGTGATCAGAAAGTACCAAGAAACAATGAAGAGCCTTAGAATAAACTCTCTAAGGTTAACTGGAATATTCTACCCTATGAGAGACTCATTCTCCATTTCTGCCTCTCAGGTCTCCATTGCCGTATCTTGTCCTTGATGACTTAAGTGAGAAATGACTCCAAAATGTCTCTTTTGAGCATACAGGAGGGTATCCATGTAATCTTTTCTTTCTTCTCTCATAAGCCAACTTACTTACCCCGAGGGCTTGCAGTACTCCTGTTTGAATAGCATGTGATTCATCCAAGGGCTGATAATCAGAACCGCCAGTCTCCTCTGGCTTCATATGACTGCCTGATGAGGTACCACCTTGTGAGGTCCCCAGTCGGGAGGCCATTTGGGGCTGTCATGGGAAAGAACCCAAAGGCTTGATGCTTCCTTCAACCACTTTCTAATAATATGTTTTACTGCTACAGTTTTGTCTATGCATCAAGGTTACTCTCCTGAGTGACAGAAGTCATGCCCTGCTCCATCCCTTTCTACCCTAGAACTGTTACCATCACAAAGCAAATCCTCCTTTTGTCTTCACTGTAGCTTGGCCTGGATATGACCAAAATCTCAGCCCATGAGTCAAACTTTCAAGAAACTCCTTTTAGTCCTGGCCCAGTCTGAATGATGAACCCTTCCTGCCTGCTCTGAGAACCCCCTCAGCATCCCTTAACACCCCTTTAACAGTCTGAGTTCAATTTTAAAGGTGCTTGTGTGTCTCAGTGTGCTTATCATCTTTGCTCTATTGTTTCACTGTCTCACAGTTGATACCCAGCTAATACATACTTCAGAAATAGCCACGTCTACGAATAATAACAGAAAAGCCACCAGCAGGCACTGGATTTTTTCATACTGAAAATACAATAGAACAGCTTTGGAGACAAAAATATGTAATCTGATACATCATTGACCTTTTTAGAAAGAATCAGAGATAAGATTGAGCCTTCAGGTAAAGCAAACCATGTTCTATAAAATACGGCTCATTTTGCTTTTTTAACAAATCAAGACAATGTAGGCTTCCTAACATCTCATTAAATACTTCATCTCCCCATCTCTAACTGAGCAACAGACATTCTTCTGGGTTTTTTAATCATGACAACCAATTCAGTTCTCAGAACATCCAATGGTACAGGCATGACCCTTTCCATTTTACAAACCGAAGAATCTAAGAAACAGAGCATTCAATAACATCCCCAAGTCCACGAGGCAGGGATCTCAGAAGCTAAGAGTCAAAACTTTGCCTCTGGTTTTCAGCACACTCTTCTTCTGAGCCCATGCAGGAGCTATCTCACCAAATCTCATCCATACTTCAGGAATGTCTAGGCCACCCCTCATAGCCAGAACTAGCCACCAAATTCAGAGGCAGCCTCTTAATATATCAAAGTATGTGTGTGTGTGTGTGAGAGAGAGAGAGAGATCTATCAATCTCTACATTTTTCTAATAAATAGCTATATTATGCCAAAAGTAATGGCATTAGAGTAACATCTGCATTCTAAGGGCAGTTATCCACAGTTAAAAATTCCAAACCTCTACTGAGAAACCAAATAGAAGGCTATTGGGCTTCCCAAGAGGGCTTTAGGGAGGCACCTTTACCTGACAAAAAAAAAAAAAGAAAGAAAGGAGGAATCCTATAGGGAAGGAGCCTGTGGTGTTTACCTTAGAGACTTCAGGCTTTGACAGAGTCCTTTCCCTGCAAGTCCATCTCAGTACAGGAGAGGAAACAGTAATGATCACCAGAGTCTGTCCCCCAAACCAACAGTCTCTTTTTCCTTGGGCTTAACGGATCTCCCCCTTGCACAACACCTCAGCAGAAGTTGTGGAAGTGTTTTTGCTGGTTGCCTGGAAAGTGTGCTAATAACACCTGTATTTGAGGCCACTGATGGCCCATCCACTTCCCCAAGAATGCCATAGAGAAGGAAGCTGGTATCAGGAGCCACCATCTTCTGGCTCTACGATGTTGTTTTCACACATTATTGGAGCAAGAAATAGAAACAGAAAATATGGGTAGGTCAGTGGGAAGGTATTGTGGAATTGGGGAAGAATAGGCCTACCTATGTAATAAAGGGTGAAGCCGTGCAGAATGAATAGCGTTGGAAGGAGGGACAGCAAACCGTAGCCACCACAGGAGTGTGTTTACATAATGCACCAGTGATGTTGCTAAAATTGTTTTTATATGCATAATATTTAATCTTCTCAGGCCAAGCAAGGTTAGCCCATTTACCATAAATTAAAATAATGGTAATTTAACTATATTGTGGTTAGTATATATCAACTGCTGCGTGCTGTTCAGTTTGCTTCCTGTGCATCTATTTCTTCTATCCTCAGGATAACCCATGACCTAGAGAGCACTACTAAAACAATATGATGGAAGACAAAACTGGCATAGAAAAGACAATCAGGGCACCACACCTGTAATCCTCGCACTCAGATTGGTGGGGGCAAGAGGATCTCCCTGAGTTTGAAGCCAGCCTGGTTTACAAAGTGAGTCCAGGACAGCCAAAGTTACACAGAGAAACCCCATGTTTCTCTGTGAAATTTATAGAATGTATAATATTCTTGTGGAATGTATACAATTTACACTTGTTCATTCAAACGTGATTTCTCTACCCCACTATCTGGTTTCAATCTGGACACTGCATTGTGATGCTTATTCTAAACATCATCTGTCTCAAGTTTGTGCAAACCTGCTACCATTTGTTCTCTGTATTGTCAGTAAAACAACCAGCCAATGCTGAGCAATGGAGAGAATAGGGTGGGACATTCTGGTCTGGAGAGGAAGAGAAAGAAGGAGTCGGAGGAGAGATCTGAGAAGAGAGATCCGAGAGGAGAGAATCAGGAAACATCAAGATAAATGAGCCAGACCTAAGATACAACTAAAAAGCAAGTATAATGTGGGAAATCTGAATGGGAGGAAACTATGTGGGCTTGGCAGTTTAGGATGGAATAACTATTGCCCAGCACTGTGCTCTAGGTTCATTAAATAAATCTTAGTCTCTGTGTGGTGATTTGGGAATACAGCTGGTTTAGGAATAACTGCTGTTTAACTAAAAGATAAATCAATATTAAATATTAATAACCATCAACACAACAGAAAAGATAATCAGTTTCCCTCATATAACCACCTATATTAGTCCACTGCCTGATGGTATAAGAGAATATTACTGACGGGATGAGTTATAAAGAATAAAAGTTTATGTTCCTCGTGGTCACAGAGTCTGAGAAGTCCAGTCCCAGAACACTGGCACCTGCCGAAGGCTGCTACGCTATGTCATAGTATAGTAGGAGCAACAAAGAACACATGAGGGAAAGCACGAAGCCCATCATCTGGGAAGTAAAACATAACTCTGGTTATTCTTGTGAGAGAGTTTAACTCGAAAGATGACTCCTGATTATGAGACTCGACATCCCATGGCTGAGCCCCCGGGGCTGGATGAAAAGAAGAGAGTGAACTGAGAGCCAGCATTCATCTCCCCCTGGTTCCTGACTGCGGGGAGTGTGGCCAGCTGTACTGTGCCCCCACTGTCGCAGGCAGAGCAGCCCTAGTCCTCATACTTCGTTTGGCAGTTCACCTTCAAATCGTGAACACAGATAGAACTTCACTTTCCTAAGTTGCTCTTGTCTGGTGTTTTGTCGCAGCAATAAGAAAGAAATAACAAGTAGGAAAGCTAAACTCCATCCTCTATTAGGAACCTATGTCTAACTATACCTCACTCCCAGGATAGAGCTGAAAAGCCATAAAGGGAGCTTGAGGCTCCCATTGACTCGTTTGTAAGTTGAAAACTGGGGCACCCATTTCAGCAAATAGTACTAAGTTCAAAGTGCAGAACACATGTAAAGCTCTTATGTCACTCAAAATGACATTTTATTGGTCAAAATAGGCACCTTCGTGTGCTTTTAAACCAGCTCATATTTTTCTAATAGAAAAACTGCAGCCATGATAATTGGAGGAGGTTAAATAGTTGGTAAAATGAAGAAGGAAACTGGATTTGTTCCTGGCTCATCCTTAAGCGTCCATGTGCATCTAAGACACATTGTTTCCCCACCTGAGCTTCACCAACTGGTCTGAGAGATCTAGCATCAGGGTAAGATGTTTGGCAATCCTCTTCCTGAAGCCCGGCTGTTTCAACACTGCTCATCTTATACCCTAAGAATGCTGAAGAGAGAAAACATATCGCCCCGTCTATTAGTCAGCTTTTCTATTGCCATGACAAAGGACTCGAGAAACATCCTTGAAGGAAGCTATATATTGTCTCAAAGTTTCACAGACATCAACCGGTATTCACCTGCCTTTGTGCTTATTGGCTTGTGCTCTGAGGCCAGGCTTGAGAGAAAAAAAAAAAAATAGAAGTATTTGGCAATAATAGTCTTCCACTGACTGGCCCCCAGAGGATCAGTCCATTTTTCAAATGCAGATGAAACATTACAGAAGGAAAGGAGATATCTGACACCAAACATCAATGGTGGGAGTGTGTGCTTAAATTCAAACCGTGAATTGAATTTTCTTTTAGTATGTTGTAACCTTGCACTAGCTTTAGAATGCAGGCTTGTTTGCTTGTTTGTTGTTGTTGTTTTAATTAGGATACTATGCAAAATAAAGTATCTGAAAACAAGAGCATTTTGCCTTTTCTGGGAGTTAGCGTGTTAAAATTTAAACTAGGCCCAAAGTTTCTATTCTGACGCATTAATACACTTCTCCCCATTCATGATTCTTACTGAAAACATTTAGAGCATATTTCTATTAGGTCAAAACATGTGGGCTAGTAGGATGGAGAAGCAGTTAAAGGTGCCTACCACCTATCCTGACAACCTGTGTCTCATCCCCTGGATTCACGTGGTTGAAGAAGAGAAATCAGCTGCCACAGGATGTTTTCTGCCCTCTACACATGCATTATAGTATGCATGTAAGCATGCACACGTGTGTTGTACAACACAAACACATTTAAAATTTGAAAAAAACTTTAAATGTTCAAAATTGCCATTAAGGACATATTCTTGAATCTGGATACAAAACAGAAAACAAAATTTAAATGTATATTATAAACTGTCTAGTAGATAACATCTAATTGACAAGGCATACACACGAACACAATTCTCAAAGAATACCTCATCAGTAGCAGAGCCTTTATTTAATTGGTTTATAGGAATGATATATCAAAGGAGAAAATTATGCCAGCATTGTTTTTCTTATTGAAAAAAAAATGGGTTTGTCTTACAGCAAAATTTATGATCTCAGCAGTGTCCTTGTCCTCTCTTCAGGGAGGAGAGAGGGTATTGACTCAATAACCACAACTCTTCTGGTGGACTTCAACATCAGCCATGGAGTGACGCTTAACAAATTTGGGGTCTTCATGAAGCCACACTGACTTCCTAAAGAAAGAGGGACCAGAGGGAATCAAGATTAGAGTTCTTGGTGCCACGTCTTGCCAAGTCAAAATCGAATCAAATCATTCTTATCTATACTCAACGCCATCATTTTCAAAATGATGACTGAGGAATCAGACAAAAGACTCATTGCAAGTTCAAGTCCAGCCTGGTCTACATAGTTAGTTTCTAGTCAGTAAGTGATGTACATTTTTGAATGTTAGTGAATGGATATGTGTTTGTGTGCAACCTTAAAATCTACGCACCAAAATTCTGATCATGCATGTTTGTCCGATTAGCCATCATTTTTTAAAATTTAGATTTATTTTGTGTGTATGAATGTTTTGCCTGAAAATATGTATGTGCGCCATGTTCATGCCTTGGTGCCTGAGGAAGTCAGAAGAGAACTTTAGATGCCTTAGAACTGAAGATATTGGTGGCTGAGAACCATGTAGATGCTGAATTTGAACCCAGGTCATCTGCAAAGCAGTAAGTGCTCTTAATGGCTGAGCCACACTTTTTCTAAGGTAGGTAAGCCAAAAGCAGGAGAGTAATTATTGTTGACAGAGGAATGCCCATTCATCTCTGTTAATCTGGAAAGTCCTCGCCATGAGGCAATAGGTTAGAACTCTACATTACAGCCAGCATTTGGTGGTATATGGAAAAGATGTATATATTTATGTATGAATACAAATGTGTGTATATGACTTAATCAAATTTGAATTTTATTTGGGGTTCTGGTACAACCTGGAATGTCGCTAAATCTCTCAATCTAGTTTATCTTAGGAAAATAGTTAAATGGAAGGTCAGAAATATTAGCAAGATAAATGTATTTTCTGCCACTGAAATCCACACTTGAAGTTGGTAAGTTTTATCTTATGTATATTTTATCATAGGTGAAACAACAACAACAAAAAAATCAAACATGATTTGCCATATTAAAAGATATTGCACATTTGCTCTGAGCTCTAAATTCCTTTTTTATATCAAGTATTTTTATATATTAGACAAGATTAAAAATTGTTTTATGGTTCCTACATTTGAACCCTAATGTTTTATAATACCCAGTGTAAACATAGCTATGACATGGTAAGTAGTTCATCAGGATCCTATTGCATTTCATCTCAAAGTTCCTATGGGGAACTTTCTGGATCCAATATTAGTTCCATAAAATTTCAAGCAAGTGCATTTAATCATACAGGTGAACAAGCCCTTCTTCATTCTCCAGTAGTTCATATGAAAATGGCAGCTTGGTTTTCCACTCATATTTTAGTAGTATAGTCTCCTAACATGAAATAAAATTTATCAAGAGAAGCATATAAAAGATGTAACAGCAAGTAGCAAATATCTCTTTTATAGTAACTTAGATAACTGTATAAAAGAGATAAAACCAAATAACTACTTTCAATAGTTACTTTTTTTACTATGAAAGATATTACAGTAAAATACATTTATGCCATGAGCCAGCAAGATGGCTCAGTAGGTAAAGGTGCATGCCAGCAAGTCTTATGACCTGAGGTCAATTTCCAGGTTGGGAAGAACAACAATTCCCACAATCTGTCCACTAACTAACCTTCACACAAACACTGTGGCACATGTGCCCAAACATATACAAAAAATAAATAAATAAGTAAATCTAAGACAAACTAAATTTCAGATTTCCAACTTAATGTTAAAGATAATGACATATTTAACTATGTTGATTTGTAGCTATAAACTACAAAACTGTAAACTAATCTCAGTTCACTAGATTGTATGTTAGAATCTTTCAACTCTGTAATGCTTTGACTCTAAAAAGTAATATATTTAATTTTTTTAGATGAAAAATAATAGAATATATAATGAAGTGTTTTATAAATAATAATTTAAGGTGTTTGAATTATCCTCTTGGGTAAGTCAGGATACAGTCTCTAAAATCTCCACTTCTGTAAGAGCAGCTCAAAGGAGAGAGATCTGCAGTACTCACCGAGATGCAAAACAGTACAAATGGATCATCTCGGGTTCACAATGACTGTATCTTGGAATAAAGTATAGCTCAGTTTCAAAACCAACAGTTTCCTCTGAGATAACCTAGGAAAGCACACAGTTTAGAGGAGGATGGTATCCGAGCAACAGAAGAGGCACTCACAGGTGTGAACACCAAACAGAAAGCACCAATATTTCAAACGATGGCTTCTGCCATGCTCAGGTGCAGGTGAAGGGCCAGCCACTTGACAGTGGCACAGGAAAAGAGCACTGCACAGGTGCACGGAAATACTTTCAGGAGCATTCTAAGACACAGAAGCCAACAAACTGTTGCCTAACAGTCTTTGTAACAGAATACTAATGAAAAGCTTTCAACAGTTCTGTCTGCCTTTGTCTCTGTCTCTCTCTGTCTCTCGCTCTCATCTCCAGCCCTCAGCAGGTTTTTTGAGTAACACAGTTTAGAGTCACATAACAAAAGTGGTTTGAATCACAGGTTTTGGAGGGAAATCAGTCTTACTTGATAATGTAACCTCATCAGCCCCATTAATTACCCCTGGGCCAAGTGAGTCAATACCACCTGATACTCCAGGTGCCTAATTTTACAAATACAGCACCCTCCCATAGGGGAGAAGATAGTCAATGAATGGTCCCAAATATTAGTATACATATAAAATTTAAGATCTATAGGAAAAAAAAAGTCCCAGAATTAAAGTACGGTTTTAGATTCATCGCTAGCTGGATAGCTAACAGATACTTAATTCCAATGAGAATCACTCCCCGGTAGGTGCACATCCTAAAGGGGCATGGGTATAGTTCAGATGACCAACTGACTTGAATATTGCATTGAACATTGACTATCGTGTACATTGCTAGGATTGATGGCCCGGCACATTAGAAGTATTGAATCAAACTTAAAACTGTTGGCCAAGGGGCTTGGAAGATGGCTAGGTGAGTACTTGAGGCTCTTGCAGAGAACCCAAGTTTGGTTCCAAGCACCCATGTCCGGAGGCTCACAATTGTCTGTAACTCCAGGGGATCAGATGTCCTCTTTGTGTCCTTCCCAGACACCTGGATACATGTGCACGTACTGATGTACAAATACGGACAAACAAAAATAAAATCCTGCTTAAACACTGCTTGCCAGGCTTTTGTGAAATACACTAGAACCTTTTAAAATTATTTAAAAATCATTGCCCACATCAGTGAGTCTGCCGATCTGTGCTATTCTGGGCATGAAATTGACTCAGTAAGCAGTGGGGAGGGAGAGGGTAAGTCTGGAAGTTCTCACACGCTGTACTCGTCAGTTAGTATCAGAGGGCTCATGGATTCCGTTTGGTTAAAGGACCATAGCACTAACAGTAAGCAAATCAGCATGACAAAACATTTAGTTCTTTTACAGACACCATTATTCTCACCTTCGTCCTGATGCCACATTGAAAAACAGGGTATATAAAACTATACTGATGCGGCTGGATTTGAGTGGCAGGACAGCCCTGTCCCAGAACCAATTCATCAGCGAAAACATGTGGATGGGTTCTGCTCTGGGTAGCCGAACTAACAAAAACCATCATCCAGTCCTGGGAACAATTTAATAATACTGCAAAAAGACACACGAGAAAAGGTCAGGTATGTATTAACTTCAGGAAGGGGCTGATTTTCTATCAAAGGTAAACATAGCTTTGAAAAGAGCCTATGGAGGACCTTGAGCTCATTATTATTTTCAAAATACACCTACTTAATTACTCTCACATACACAACTGTCTGATATTTCACAGGTAAAAAAAAAAAAACCAACATACAAAGATAACAAAATGAAATCAACCTATGATTTTTTTTTTCCTACTGAAGAACTGAGATTCCACAAAGGGTGCTTTATTCAGGAGTATATGGAAGGGGGTGACGTATCCCCACCACCTTTGAGAGGGAAGAAGGAAAAAATATACTCTAGAGAAACTCAAAATGGCCTCAACCATGAGAGAAGGGAATCTGAGGAGAGAAAATTCCCCCTCCTCCCAGCTTGGAAATGCTGCAAAAGCCTTGTTGTAAAACCCATCCTTAGCCTCTACACTGAAATCTTCAGGAAGCCAACAGCTAATGTGGCTTATGATGAGAACAATGGGAGAAGTTTCCCATAATGGATTTTCCCATAATAGAAAATATATGTGGTTGATGAGTGTATGGGCACAGAGGCCTCCAAAAATCAATGGGGCCGGTGAGGTCTTGTCCTTGAGATAAGGAACCATCAAGAAGAAAAGGTGAGTTTGGGGAAATTAAGGGCTTGAGAAGGCAGGTGTTATACATCTTTGCATCTTTGTGTGTTTAAAATATTATTCTAATATGCCCTAAATAGAAGAGTCAGGAAGAGATTCCTTAAAAGAAAAAATATGTATCTCAATACCTGAGATTAAAATTGGGTTCAAAAGAGAAAGTGGACTTGGGCATACTGAGGTCCATGCTTTTAAGCTTAGCTATTGCTGCCTGGCGTCACATTTCAGTCAGTTTGATGCTGCATAATGGTCCCTCCAACATCTGAGAAATTACTAAGGACCACACATAACTGCTGGCTAAATTAACTGAAAGCAATTCTTCCTTGGCCCCAAACAATAACTAGGACGGGAACACATATGCCTTGTTCATTCTGTCCTAGGGAGCAGGGAACCTGCCAGCTCTCACTTCTCCGCATATGCTGTCTATTTCAGCCATTAGCTGCTGCCCTGATGTAGCTGTGCCAGCCTAAAGGCTGCCTCTTAAAAGGAAAGGATATCAGAGGCTGTAAATGCTCCAAACAGATAAAAGAAAAGAAAAGAAAAGAAAAGAAAAGAAAAAGAAACCAATACATCACTTCTAAAACAAACTGCACTTCCAACAGAAGGCATAGACAAGCCAAGTTTGTAAATAATAACACAATAATTCTGCCTTAGAAAAACTAGCACTTAGATCTTGAAACTAAGAAACACCTTAATTCCAGGTAAAATAAATCAAAATGAACTTGTAAACAGGACAAAATTGATTTATCTTGACCTTCATGGCTTCCTAGTACCATCAGCAATCTGCTGTAGATGACCTGCAGAGCAGAACTTTTGCATGCATGTTTCTGGTGGCCAGGCTAGCCTTGAAATCGCTATTAGCCAAAGATCACTTTGAACTTCTGGTTTACCAGCTTCACCTTCCCAAGAACTAGAATTATATAGACTTGTGTCATCACAACCAACCAGGCAAATTTTAAAAGAACATAAGCAATATCATCATCATCAAGAAGAAATAGAAATATTTTGGAAACAGAAAGATCAGTTTCAGAGACACGAAACAACTAATTTCAACACTATCAAGTATAGATAATTACCAGTAGGTTTGAAAATGCAGACTGAGACAGAGCCATGGAATATTTCTGTAAACAAAAACATGATGGAGAAAAGACCAAAGCATAGGAAAGGAGGATGTCTGAGAATTCAAACATTGGGCAGAAAGAGGAAAAATGTAGGGTCAGTCTACTTGACCTGAAAGCATTCGTCCTCCAGAAAACTGAGAGCAACATGACAGCTCTGGAGGGAGGAGAGGACCTGAATGGAAAGCGACCACTGCACACTACCCTTTCTGGGAAGAGGCATCTCCAAATGCCCATTTACCATGGATGTCCCAAGCATGAGCACAAAACAAGCCAGCAAGGAGAACCAAGACCCCTAAAGCCATAGAGACCTTTTCCTGGGCAGACTTGCAGCTCAGCGCCACCCAGGAAGCAAAGGGAAAGTCAAGGCTGCTTTAAGTGATTTTGTATGGCAGCTTAAGCTCAGCTGCCTTCATTTTCCTACTTGTGTGGGTAGCCAGTGGGGCTGAGGGGCTCTCGTCACTGTGCTAACTACTTAAAACTCGGGTCCTCCTGATTACACCACAAAGCTCAAAGAGGCATACCTGATAGGTTGATCATGCTCCACTGGATGGTCCTACACCTGTCAGCACAAATTAGATGCCGTGTGCTATAACAAAAAGAAGACAGAAAGATGAAGGGCATTGAGAAAGATTAGGGGGAAGAGTCGGGAGTAAATATTATCAAAATATACTGTGTAGTACATGGAATTCTCAAATAACTAATTAAAACATATTTTTAAATGTGTCAGTTGACAACCATTTGCAGTTGTGACTGTTAAAATCACCTAGAGGTCATGGTGTGGCTGAGATTGACCCTGAACTTCTGACTCTCCTGCCTCCACCTCCCAGGTGCTAGGATTTCAGGCGTGCACCACCGTGCCTGGCTTTATTTAAGCAATTAAAGTCGCTATGTGGTTCTCGGAAGTGTGGTGGGCTTTACACACTAAAACTGAATACTATTTTTCCCGTTCCTGTGGGTACGGATGTGCTGCTGCCTGCTCAGTGCCTCTGGAAAGCATCCCGCGCCGACTGAGGCCATCTTTGTGGTCTTCATTCCTCTCTCCTTGCTGTAAAGAGAGAAAGCTGGTTTCATTTAAGACCCAAAGCAGAAAGAGGTACTTATTTTATTATGTGCCAGCCCTAACTACAATCTTCTCAGTGCTGTGAACAGCCAAAGGGAAGGCACACAGAAGCCATTGCAGCTGTTCATTTGCTTGTAGCATGTACTTGCTCAACCATTCGACGATCTAATGGATTTGCACAGGAAAATGGCTGAAGTGTGTATTCTGAGGCAGGGCTAGGAGGTAGAGCCTAAACTAGAAACACAGCTTAAACCTATCAGCGCAGAGGTGCCATTTCATGTAGCTAAGATGGATGAGCTCACCAGGGCGGGGATCATAAGGACATAAGATTAGCCACTAGGGAGCTAACCTTTAACCCCAGAATATGGAGAGAGGTTTCAATGAAGAAGGATCTCCTGAAGCTGGTAAGTCACTAAGGAGGAAGGGTAGCGTGTTGTGGAAGTGTGGAATTCTTATGTTTTTCTAACAGGAGACAATAAAAGGTGCCTGGCCCCGCTGCTAAGACTGAGTGAGACTCGGCTTCTGGATTTGCCAATATGGAATTCATGAGTTGTCTTAGTTAAGGCTTGACTGAAGTGAGTTTAACATGTCGGAGCCCACGTCAGAAAGCTGTGAACTGTGGGCGGTTCAGAGTACAGGATGGTCTTTCCACGAGGTAGCCTGCTAGAAAGAACCGCATAAACTGTTATAAGGGAATGCACATAAAGGCCAGGGTATGAAGGGAATGCACCGGCATGTACACGTGGGAAAATGAAAGGCCTGAAGGAATATCCATGGCTCTTTTCAGAGGTCTGAGAATGTAAGACATAATATCCAGTGTATTCCCTCGGTGTGCTTTCATTTTGTGCTAAAGCTCTCTGTGAATGTCATCTCCTGTTTTGCTTGCTTTAATAATAAAAATGAGAGGTGCTTAGTTTGCACGATTCTTGAACTCAAACGCCTGGAGTGCCTTGGTTACCCTCAAGCAGATCTTTTGGCAGATCCTTGACCTGTGGAGACTTAGGCTTGCTGGCTGTGGTGGGCCGACATAATAGGTTAAAAAAAAGAAAAGTCCACACAGGGTTATTTCACATCAGCATAAATAACTGCCTAACTTAAAAAAAAAAAACTGAGTGAGGTATCCCAGAAGCAGAAAGACACACATGGTATATATTCACTTATAAGTGGATATTAGACATATAATATAGGATAATCATACTAAAATCTGTACACCTAAAGAAGTTAAGCACGACAGAACCAGAAAATTTGAACACAGGGGTCTTTCCAGAGACTCATACTCCAACCAAGTACCATGCATGGAGATAACCTAGAACCCCTGCACAGATGCAGCCCATGGCAGTTCAGTGTCCAAGTGGGTTCCATAGTAATGGGGACAGGGACTGTCTCTGACATGAACTGATTGGCCTGCTCTTTGATCACCTCCTCCTGAGGGGGGAGCAGCCTTACCAGGCCACAGAAGATGACAATGCAGCCACTCCTGATGAGATCTGATAGACTAAGATCAGAAGGAAGGAGAGGAGGACCTCCCCTATCAGTGGACTTGGGGAAGGGCATGCATGAAGAACGGGGAGAGAAGGTGGGATTAGGAGGGGAGGAGGGAAGGATTTTGGGGGGGATACAAAGTGAATAAAGTATAATTAATAAGGGTTAAAAAAAAACAAAAGTTGTTAAGCATGAAGGAGGACCATGGATAAGATGCTCAATCCTCATCCAGAAAGGCAAATGGGACAGACATCTTTTATCACCTCCCAGAGGTGGGGGCAGGCTTACCAGGCCACAGAGAAGACCATAAAAGACAGTCCTGATGAGACCTGATAGGCTACGGTCAGATGGAATGTCCTCCCCTATCAGTGGCCTGGGGAAGGGGCATGGGAGGAGATGAGGGAGGGAGTGCAGGATTGGGAGGGGAAGAGGGTGGGAGCTACGGCAGGGATACAAAGTGAATACATTGTAATAATAAAAAATTATATTAAAAAACTACTTAGGGTTTAATAGGAAAAAATAATTATACCAATAATATACCCTGAGGTCCAGTCCACTAAATGAGAATTATTTCCATTGAAAGTAAGCACCAATAATAAGCCTCTCTATTTGAAACAAAGATGTCAGTTTCAAATGACATAGTCAAGTTTATCAAAACACCATAAAGAATTCAACAAGTATAATAAATATATAAAAAAACAACTGAGCACTTGCCAGGCATGCTAGTCTATACTTTTAATCCCAGAACTCAGCAGGCAGAGGTAGGAGAATCTCTGAGTTTAGGAACAGCCTGGTCTGCATAGCGAATTCCAAGATAGCCAGAATTACATGGTGAGGCCCAGTCTCAAAGAAAAAAGTGACATTTATTGATTTGGATTTATTGATTGTGGTGGCTTGAAAGAGAATTACTTCCTATAGTCCTTTGTTTGAATTCTCGGTCCCAGTTGGTGGAAGTGTTTGGGAAGGAGTAGGAGGCTAAGCCTTGTTGGAGCAGGTATGTCACTGGGAAGTGGGCATGGAGGTTTCGGAAGTTCATCCCATTCTCCTACTCTTTCTCTGCTTCTTGCTTGTGGATCCAGGGTGAGCTCTCAGCAACTGCTCGGTGCCATGCCCACCTGCCTGCTGCCATGCTTCCCGCCATGACGGTCATGGACCCAACTACACTCTACAACCATGACTCCCTCCACCCCTGACAAAAAATAAATGCTTACTTTCATAAGTTGCTCTGGCCCTGGTATCCCTCCTTAGAAACAGAAAAGTAACTCAAAGAATTCCGTTTTCAGTTTTCCCCATACCTGCATAGAATCTGTAGAGGGCATCCCACCGGCACTTACTTAGACCCATGTGCTGTATTGTAGGATTCTGGGGAGAGTTCGGGGCTGGACTTTGACGCTAACAACCAGCGTGCTGTCTTTCACTTTGTTAGTTGTAAGTCATTCTCATGTGATCTGGGCCGGTTAGAATGAGTTTGTCCCAACACACGTGTACTCAAAAGCACAGGATTTCATAGTAAAGATATACCAGATCATTTAAATTCACAGATGAATTAGAACCCTCCTTTCAAGCCCAAATCCAAGCTGAGATAAGCAAACTCTTGAGTGTGTTTTATACTTTAATGTGGGAGGAGGAGGCATTATGCAGCCCGATTTACAAGCAAACACTCATACAGTGACAGCTTCATTGGGAATTCGGCCTTCAAGTAGAAAGTTCTGGTGACAAGTCCCCTTAGAGTTAATTCAGTAAAGCATTTAAACGTGACACAATAGAGCTATACTATCCCAAATCCCAGAAGGCATTTAAACAGGTTAACCAATGTAACTACTGGTCTTGAAATGGGCAAAACAACGGTGTGGCTGAAACCCAGCCCCAGGCTAGTGTGCACCATTTGCTTCTGTGTCTTGGGGAACAAAGGGAATCCTAACAGAGGAGTTGCTGATCCAGTGTCTCACCAGCAGTTGGCTCTGCGGGTTAAAGAGAACACAGTTAAAATCACTTGCATAGACAGCTAACCCAGCATCTTTTCCAGAAGCCCCAGACGTTCAGCCTGAAGCTGTCGGAAGAATCAAATCTCTGTCCTTAAACATCATTCTCTGACATTACCCACGTGTACCAAATATACAAATATTTAACTGGATCATTTAAAGTTATCGTCAGCTAAATTTTTCCTAAACAATTGTTTTCTGGAGACATGGACATCACGTATTTAGGTCATCTATCCCTACTTAGGAAGACTGTTATATTTCTAAAACAGAGTTCATTTGCTCATGACAGGCCGCCATCAAGGCCATGGTCTGTGTACAAGTTTTATGACATGCTTTTAAAACAAACTCAGAAAAAAACAATCTTGCTAAGATACTTATCTGCAGATATTACCTAGGGGAGAAAAAACACCCACAAATAACAAATTCTTCAAAGTTTTCAAAATTTGCTGATTTCCCTACGTCTATTACTCCCAAATCATATATGTATATTCTGAGATGCTTTTCTGTAGATGTTAAGAAATCAGAGACCTACAGTTGGCTATCTATGAAAGCAATTTCTCGTCACAGGCTCTATTGAGAACAATTTAGTGCTTGTGATAAAAATGTAAGGAACTAGTCTTGTTTTTGTAAATTGAACCAAAGTACTGTCTGTTACAAAAGACAAAAAAACAAAACAACAACAACAATAACAAAACAAAAAAACAGTGCCCAAGCCTAGAAGATTATAAAACGCAAGCATGTTAAACACACAGAACTCCAGTGGGGATTTACACAGGTCCTTCACTGAGATTTTCATTAACAAATTGCCATGAACCATGAAATGCTGGATGGACCCCTCTTACCTTAGGAGAACTGGTAAAATTAGGTGCACATGTTTTACTTTTCAAGGAATCTGCTGCCTGTTGTCCTACCACATGCGTGCCAACACTGAAAGACCTCACACTATACCAATTTATTCCAAAAGGCTTTACAGGCGGCAATTTAGGCCTAAACGCAAAGAGAAAAAGAGCAGAGTATCGACAGCTGTACAGACAATCTCAGAGAACACATAAATACTTTAGTGGCTTGTGTGCGACTTTTAAAACTGATTGGAGAGAAATGGAGACTATCTTAGTGAATATGAATATAGTTTATAATACAATCTTAAGTTAATACTTACCAAGATAATATTGATGCAGAATTGGCCTTAGGATTCCAAAATGAGGACTTCAAACAGTATGTCATGCAACAAATACTCTATCTAGAACTCAAAGACTATGATTCCACACCAACTGCAACTATCCTATGCACACACACACACACACCACAGCAGTAGCAGCAACCTAGTATCGGTGGGGTTGACGTAAAAAATAGACTTCCGTGTAGAAAACAAGTCTACTGTCAAACTCAGCCTGCTGGAAAGGAGCACTGTCTGATTAAAGTGTTAAAAGAGTTCGGCGCCATCCCGGCCCACCGAATTCTACGTTAGGAGTTACAGCCTTTGAATGAGAGTAAGGCACCCTTTGTACACACCCCATTGCCTGTAACTGCTCTGTAGCTGAAGTTCGCAAATAAGAACTAAACATGGATTAATCACATGAGAGATAAACACAAGGTTCTCACAGAAAAAAAAAATACAGCATCTGTTACTGCAGCCACTGGGGTTGAGGAGAGGCGGAGAAAATGGTTCTCGGGCTAAAGAGACTGGGCACATTTCTGTCACTGTTCCAGGGAGTGTGCGGGTATCCTACTAGTTTGAAGACATTTTGTATGACTGGAGATGCATACCTGTTCCTCAGAAAAACAAAGCCCACCCCCAGCATGGATGTAGGGAGGGGGTGGGCTGCAGTTGCCACTTCATGCTTCATCTATGGAAGACCAGGAAGAACAGATTGCCAAAGACGTCAGAAACACAGATATCATCTGACGCCTGAGAAACAGCTGGATGCTGGCTTTAATGTGTTTTAAGGTTTCCATGTGTAGGGCTGTACAATGCCTACAACTTCACTGAGAGGAAAGCTTACAGGACATGCTTACAGAATGAAGACAATGCGTGGTGATTGAAGAAGGCTGTCGCCACAGCAGCTGGAGCATCAGAAATGGTCAACGGTGCTACAGTCCTATGATCCATGTCTTCATGTGATGTTTCATCTTCATCGCTAGTGTTATAATACACCTTAAACATCAGCTATCATCAAAAAAACACAGGACTGGGAGCCAGAGAAACGGTTCATTGGTTGAAGTCATATACTGCTCTTGCAAAGAGGCCGAGTTTGATTCCCAACACCCACATTGGATGGCTCACATTTACCTGTAAGCCTATCTCAAAGGAATCCAACACTTCTGGCCCCACAAGGACCGGAACACATGATGTAGAGGCACATAATGAGAAACACATGTACATGAATAATTAAAATAAATATTTTTTAAAAATATAAACTTTGAAGAAATGTCATTTAAAGCTCAGAGGCACCTCAAGGGAACCCTAAGTGTTTGTGATGAATCTTTAGCTATCATCCATCTAAATCATGTGTATTCCCCAAAGCAGCAGTAAATATAATGTCGTATGACAAAGGCCATATTCTAAAACTGCACTGTAAGCAGACAGACATACTGTCACTGAGGCCGGGGGTATCTTGTTTGGCTAAAGAACTCAATTTTAGCTTTGTAGAAAGATAAATGCTACGTGTGATGCTCCAGGTTACTGTGTTGGACAGGATTATGGGGAAGTAACTTAAAGTTTGAAGAACACAGAACTATTCCAGTCTGATCCTTCCCACCCATCAGGAAACATGGGGTTAGAGTGACAATCTGTGGAGAAACATCGTGAAATGACTGAAAACGACATTGCTTAAGTCACAGGGTAACCTAAGAGTAGTCTAGACGCCATGACATTGACACAAAGATCAAGTACCTCAGTGGAACGGAAAAGAGAATGTAGAACACAGGACATATTTGATAAATACTTATAATTGTGTATTTACAGATTTGATTATACATGAAATTTCTGCAAATAAATGTTGGGTTTCCAAATTACAGGGGAAATGATTATGCTTTTAATTTGAAATGATAGGGAACCACATACATAATAAAGTTTAAAACTGGCCAGCGGGATGGCTCAGTGAGTAGTGCTTGCCACCAAACCTGACCACCTGGGTTTAACCCCAGAGACCAGCATGGTAGGAAAGTGACTCTTTCACATTGTCCTCTGACCCCTACATACATGTTGTGGTAATAGTATACTTGCACACACCCACACCTACACACACAGATGCACACATTCATACATACACATTGAGTGTATTTTTTTAAGTTAAATGATAGAATCTAGGTGATATGAGACTTCCCTACAAATTCCTTTCAATTCTTCTGCACACTTGCAATCTTTCCTAACAATCAGATGTTTTAGGAACCATAGCTGTGCAAGAGGCATCCTCTGTGGCATTTCCATACATACACTTGTCCGCAAAACACCCACCCATCGACAGAAAAATTTAAGAATGCGTAATTAGAATAGTTGTCTACCCACACCTACCTGTTCACGAAGCAGACCACCTGGAAATTATGGGTAAGATCCAACACCGGTCTATACCTGATCTCGGATAATACGAGAACATAATTTCCCTGGAACACCTGAAATGATGAGGCATGGAATTGTTTGTGTGGTTCAATAAAATGAATATATTCTGTCAGTTCTAGAAATATGGAAAATTTTAATTTTACATTAATTTTGAAGAAATGAAAGATATGAAAAGAACATTTGCCTCTGTCTCCACAAACAAACAGAAAAATAAAAGACAACATTGGGAGCTTTTTCAGTTTTATTATCTCCATATTATTAAGTATAATGTATTATAATTATTCACATGTAGTGTGTGTGTGTGTGTGTGTGTGTGTTGCCTACATGGCCGTGCAGTGCTCTTGGAGGTCAAAAGATGGTTCCAGACCCCCTGGAACTGGAGTTACAGACAGTTGTGAGCCACTGTGTTAGTGCTGTCAATCAAACCCTTGTCCTCTGGAAGACTCTTAACCGCTGAGCCATATCTCCAGGCCCAAAGTCAAAAACTTTAAGTTATGTTTTCTCTTTCCAAAATAGTTCCCCATTCATACTCTTCTATTTACACTGTGGACATCATACAAATTTGACAGAAAAAAAGTGTGAATAAATAGAGAAGATGTAAGCCATGACTGTAGACTTTTACAAAACCTGGTAGAGTAAATGTCATCACTAGATGCCTATGGACCAGACTCTCTTCAAGATACAATCACATGAGTTATAACTGTGCTGAACGTTTGTAATAATAATAATAATAAAAAAGAAGTCCTGATGCTGGCAAGATGGTTCAGTGGGTAGGATACTTGCGTAGGGTGGCAAGGCCATGAATTCAATGCCCAACAGGGTAAAGGGGAGAAGAGAGAGAAGAAGGGATTATGAGACTGTGTATCCACAAAATATGCAGGAGTAAAGTGAAATCATTGTACCACTTACAAATCTGCTGATCTCACAGGACACGAGAGGATAAGAAAACTCATAGTTGAAGCTCAGGATTCTGGTTACAGAGCAGTTGCTCCCCAGGTGGATGTCATCAGCTCTCACTTCCGTGTCATTACCAAATGGTTTCCTTGGCGTTCTCACTATCAGCCAGTCATCAGAACACACCGAAGTCATTGCTGTAAATAAATAGATAGATAGATAGATAGATAGATAGATAGATAGATAGATAGATAGATAAATAAATAAATAAATAAGGTACACCTTATTGGGCTTTGGTGGGAAATGTATCTTTGCTACTGCAAAAATAAATAGTACAACGCTGCCTTATGAAGAATTTGACAGACACAGGTGGCCAGCTCAGTACTGACCATTTTAGAATTGAGCTTTTGGAGTAGGAATGAAACCCACCCAACAGTCCTTTGCCTAATAACATAATTATTATGATACAATCGCTATGGCCAGGTCCAAAAAGAAATAACAATTGTCCGTTTTTCTTTTTCTCTAGTCCAAGTTGCTGTGAACTAGGAAACTCAATGATGGACACATTTACCTTTGAAACTAAACCACTCATGGGCAGGCTACACCGCATGCTTGCCTTTCTCCTCACATTGTTTCGTGTTCTACTATTTGTGCTGCAGCTCCTGAGTCAACACACCATAGCTCTCCTACTGAGTACAAGGAGTTCCCTAGACAGGTAATCTATTCATTTTCCGGATGAAAATGGTGCACTCAAAACTTTCAGTCGCAAAGCCTGTCCAGTCTGGGACATACTTGTGCCTACCACTAACACAGCCAGATCAATGCTCAGAGAGATGGCTAACTGCTGGATCCAAGCATTGCTAGAGACTACACAGTTTTTTCCCAATCCACCGAAGGGCCATATCTTAGAGTTAAAAGTGGCAATGAGAACACCACGAGTAAATTATTTTCTATGCACAGGTATTCTATTTTTTCATGGTGTTGGTAAATTACCCAAGGGCTTGCTAATCAAAGTCAGGTCTGCGGGTGGATAACAGCAGCTGAACCTGGGCATTTCTACCCTGCTTAATCGTCTCACACGTGTTTAGAAGATCCAGATATCTCTCACACATTTATTTTAGTACATCCAATATAAGGGGCACCAAGAACGTCAAGATGACTGAAGACTATAACAAAAGCAGTTAAAATGTTACGTAGAGAAAAACAGATGAAGGCAATCACTGCACATAGATGTTAAGTTTCATAACATTAGTCTTTTTTTCCAGCAAGGATTGCAACCTTTGTGTGCAGCAGGCATGAAAGATCAAAGGTGGGGGGTTATATTTAAGAAAATAAAATAGATCAGTAATACCATTGGAGCAGGAAGTAAGTTTCCAACCTGTTTCATTCACATGTTTTCTCATGCTAATCTATGAGACTCAAAAAAAAATTTAATTTCCAACCACACCCCACTATTTCCATCTTGAGGAATGGTGTAGAAATATTACTCACTTGACAAAAGGAAAAGTACCTTCTGGCACATGAACCTCAGAATGAGAACAATCAAGCAGACTCGTGTATATCCAGCTAGACTGGGACCAACAGCTCCACCCTTCCCAAAGATAGCAAATGTGATCATGAGAAAAAGCAACCAAGGTTGCATCAAGTTTGTTACAGAGAACTTGCTGCTTGCCTCGCACCATGAGAGCCACAGAGAGTCAATGACTGCCTCCAGGTGTCAGAAACCAAGAGAGTGTGAAACATGCCTGTGGTTCAAGCTGCTTTCTAACAACAGTTTTGGGGAAAAGAGAGAATTCAAAAACGTGCTTTAAAGCACTTCAAAGCAGAAGCAAAACCCTCTAGGACAGTGATTCTCTACCTGTTGGTCATAACTCCTTTGGTTGAACAATGCTTTCACAGGGGTCACCTACCACCACTGGAAAACAGAGATTTACATTGTAATTCATAACAGTAGCAAAACTACAGTTATGAAGTGGCAACAAAAACAATTTTATGGTTGCGGGTCACCACGGCATGAAGAGCTGTATTAAAGAGATTCAGCATTAGGAAGGTTGAGAGCCACTGCTCTAGGGCCTGGTTTGCCCGCTTGGCTACGGATGCTCAGAGGATGGCCTTCTTGTTGGCTGTATGTAGTGGAATGGTTGGGAACAACCCTGACCATCCACTAGAGTGTAAAGTAAAGGTGGGATGGCTCCAGTGTCCTACAGAAACAGGAGAAAGCCATAGGCAAATCTTCACACCGCCATGAGACACAGCTAATGGGCCGCCAGGCTAATGCAAGCCAGAGACCTTCTCTCATACCACAGGGATACCAAGACATGGGTGTTCTCTAGTCACTGTTTCTCTTATCTTCTTTTATTGTTGCATTCTTTTATTTATGGGGAAAGGGGCACTTACACGTCACCTTTTACATATGGAGGTCAGAAGACAACGCGCAAGAGTCAGTTCTCTCCTTTCACCACATAGGTTCCACAGAGACTGAACTCAGGTTGCCAGGCTCAGCAGCAAGCACCTCAACCCACTGAGCCAGCTTACCAGCCCAACTATCATCTTATTTTAAGGCATATTACACATCCCGAGTAATATTTCACTCATGCCTGGAGTTCAAGTGAGTGGCTCACCCAGTCAAGTACCGGAGTTTGGGGGGAAGGTATCTGTCTCTAGAGCCTCATTGTATAAAAGAAGCAATTTTGTAGCCCAACTGCAATTTTCATTCTGTGGAGCATGCTCCCTTTGCAAGTTCACACACAGGCACATCCTCTGGCTGACAAAGCCCTTCTTTGGCTTTCTCAAATTACGTAAACCCAAGTTATTAAAAACAAAACAAAACATGGGACTAGTTAATAAATAAGCCTTTCAAAAGAGGCAGTTGATGATATAAACTGAATCTGAAGAACCATCAAATTGTTTGTAATAAAACAAAAGACCTTGGACACAGACTCAACACACTAACTTCCTTTAAACTAAGCTTAACTGGAAACACCACCAACCCTCACTGTTTAATGATCAGTGAGGGAAAGAAAAAGATCCCTCAGAAGTGTCTTGTCTCTTTAAATCGACATTTTCCAGATATTTCTTATTTATACCTAGCTCAAGTCCAGAAACATTCCAAAACAACAGACAGAGGAGGGAGAACCCGCCTGACATGGCTGTAAGCTCCATGACGCTGAACTCTGAAGCACTGCAGCCCAGGAGAACCAACCAACAGGAAACAGGACATGGCGTCCTTCAGAATTTATACACCTCTGGCTAGCTCAGCTGTCTGCAGTTACCCTCTGCTTAGATGGGGCTGGGACTGGAGACTCTTCAGCAGCCTGCTGTTGCTCATTGCCTCACATGCAAGTCTGTTAGATTGAAAAATACCAGGTTTCACAGGATCGATCATAAACTGCACTCCAGCAAGATTTCTAGGTAGTTCACTACACACACATTAAATCTGACAGGCATTCATCTGAGCACACACCTAGCCTAGACTACTAGTGTTTATTTTTAAAATTGCCTTGGTATTGGAAATTACAGCACAAATAAATATAATAGATCCACCCAGCACCTCTCTGTATGTAAATGTCCTTGGGTGTCGCTCCACAGGCTCCTCTCCTTCTTGTTACTTACGTCTAAAGGAACGAGATTGATGAGTGAGAGGAAGCTGATGCAGGTGGCATGTTTCTGATTGGCTCTTTCTCTCGTCCACTCAGCTCAACCTCACAACTCAACTATGTTCATAGCAGCTGTATTCATAATAGCCAGAATCTGGAAACAACCTAGCTGTCCCTCAACCGAGGAATGGATAAAGAAATTGTGGTGCATTTACACAGTGAAATACTACTCAGCCATTAAAAACAAGGAAATCATGAAATATGCAGACAACTGGATGGAACTAGAAAAGATCATCCTGAGTGAGGTATCCCAGAAGCAGAAAGACACACATGGTATATCCTCACTTATAAGTGGATATTAGCCATATAATATAGGATAAACATACTAAAATCTACTGACCTAAAGAAGCTAAACAACAAGGAGAGCCTTAGGGAAGATGCTTAATTCTCATTCTTAGGGAGAACAGGATAGTCTGTCTGTCTGTCTACCTGTGTGTGGAGGTCAGAAGACAGCTTATAGAAGTTGATCTCTTCCACCATGTGGGTCCCATGGACTGACCTCAGATCATTAGGCTTGGTAAACGCCTTTACTCGCTAAGCTACCTCCTACACTGTAAATAAACATGGTAAATATCGTCTACCACTTTCGTAGATGTGATAGTAAATTTCTTGGCAGTTTGGCTGGGCCATCAGGTGCCCCAATATTTGAGAAAAATCCTATTCTGGGTGTGTTTTGGAGGTTCTCTCTCTGTGAGACTAACATTAAATGAGTAAGACACATGTCCCCGCTCCTCCCCTCCCTGCCTGACCACAATCCGTGACATTGTGCTTCTCCTTGAATGTGGGCCAGAACCTGCAATGTGCACTGTCTCTTGGTTCTCAGGCTTTGGACTTGGGCTAGACCATTGCTGTCACCTCTCCTGATTGCCAGCTTACTAACATCAGTTCAGGAATTTCTGAAACTCCATAATCACACGAACCAACTCATTTCATATTACTATGCACATTACACACACACACACACACACACACACACACACACACACACACACACA